GGTTGTGGAATCATGAAACCGAGTCATGTCTAAGATTAGTCGTCCAGTAAATTTGTGAACCTGATTTTGTTTCCGATTGTAGTGTTGGTAAAGTTCGAAAGCGATATTCCATCCTTTTTTGTAGGCGCGGTAGATTGAATTGTAAAGCCCGAGGATTTTTTTGAAAACTTAAAGGGAACCTGTTTTTTAAGCGCGGAGATCCAAAGAGCCGAATAAATGTGAGCGCTTAACTACAATGTACGCTAAGAATTACAAGTCAAATATAATGTTTTTTTGTCTTCATCATTTGTATTCTCCTCTGAAGCATTAGCAAAACTTCTATCAAGTTTTTTTAATACTACGAGATCGCGGCCCCAGCCCACTTCGGTAATTTTTTGACCTTCGCTTCGCTACGGTAAAAATAACCTACGTTCATGCTGGGGGCAATCTCGCGCCGGCAGCGGGCCACCGACGCCACTCAATGTTTATATATGGGATAAAAATAGATCTTATTGATAATGAATATTTTATGTTTAATTTTGTGTTCGAGTTAGTACTTCAGTAAATACAACGTTGTCTGTGAGTCTTGAAAATGACTGCCCTTTCAGTAACATTACTTTGAGATTAGCAGGGTTACGGACCCGTGATAAAGCAACATAAAGTTGACCGTGCGTGAAAACGGGTATGATCAGACAATTGGTGCAAAAGAAAGAGTTTGGCCTTGGTCGGAACTTACAGCCCCTCCCAGCTCATTAAATGCTAATCATTATTTTTTTTTCACTCAATGTTTTGTGTACTGTGTTGGTCGGGACTTATAGCCCCTCCCAGCCTATTCAATGCTCACATTATTATTTTCACCCAATGTTCTATGTACTGTGTTGGTCGTGACTTACAGCCCCTCCCAGTTCATTCAATGCTAATCCTTATTGTTTTCACTCAATGTTTTGGGTACTGTGTTGGTCGGGACTTACAGCCCCTCCCAGCTCAGTAGGTGTTTATTATACTCATACTTGTCTGTTACTTCGACCTGCGGTTCGCTTGGCCGCCCAAAAAAAAAAAAAAAAAAAAAGATCAGTCCGAATTGTGCTAAAACCACATAATAAATGCTACTGTCTACAAAAGGAAAGATGTTTCACAGATAAAAGATCGGGAATAAGTAACCCGGCTTTATGGAAATTTCTTCATTACAACACAACTCTAGGCTCCGACCAATGAGAGATCAGAGAATTTAAGGAACAATAATAAATCAAGGACAGCTATCTTACGATCTTCAATAAACCAAATGAATGGTCCATCATATATAACTACGATGGATCTGAGCTGTCAAAAATACAAACCACAATATCTTCAATCTTCTATAAATATCAGGGCAAACCTGCCCGTCTAGTTAGCTCTTAATCAATTTTTATACCAATAAATCGACAAGACTTATAATTGTATTCTCTTTGTTTTTTTATCTATTTTTTTCTGTAAAACTATTCTCTCTTAAAGTCTACTTTTACTACACGAATTACTAAATATGGTATATACTGCAAAGTCAAAACAATCATTATAATATTGATAAGTGTTATTATGGGTTTGATCATGGCAGTTGAAATAGAAAATATGCGATCCACAATTTGGTGGTAACCACAAATATCTCTATTAGACAAACAGTTTAAATGTTGTTTCATACGGTTCCAATTTTATTTCGAAAAAATGTCGTTTAAAGATATCAAAATGAAACAGATTCCTTAAGATTCGGCATAGCATAATCTGGTATATCATCTACGTTAGAGAAGACGTTTTTAACGGGAAATATTTCGATTCAATTTTTCAACCATTGGCAACAAGCCAGGTATATATTAAAATTTTAATTTTGACCATATCTTTGCTTTTGCCTTTCTTTCTCGCCATCTTATCCGTCAGGACTAGTATAGACGCAAAGTTTCATAGGTTTACTAGCTATCAAAATTGTTTCGAAAGTTTTTCTAATGTTGATTGCGTAATGAGCGTTAAAGCTTGAATGGTTTTGAGCATTCAGTGTCACATTCAACAGTAATAGAATCTATGGAAAAACGGGATCAACTAGTAACTTCGCTGCTGCCTCGTAGATAATACTTCTATTTGAATCCTTAAAACAAACCGTTGTAGTCCTTTCGTATATTGGAACTAAATTCAACTTGAAGACCCAAAGAACAAACTTTCTGCCATGTATATGTAGTACAAACAACATGATTCCCAAGCAAAGTAAAGAGATGACTTTCTTCTTGACCGTCAGTTGTTTGATAAAAGGGTTTTTATTGAATTATACACGCATATCGTATAATCGAGAAAAAGTCAAATAGTTAAAATCCGTGCCATAGTGGCATCATTCACCAAACTACGGAATGAAACAACATGAAAGTTACTTGCATTATTTTTGTTCCGATTCCTGAAAATCTCGAAAGTCCACACCTAGTTGAAACTCATAGCGGTAATAAATTGACTTCTTGGAAAAAAATGGCCGGAAATAACCGCGGTTACTTAAGGATCAGGTCCCCAGAATGGGACCTGATAACTTGATTTCATTATCCGCATATTATGCTATCCTAATGTCATCTCTTGTTACTTTCTTTGAATTACAAATTGGTGAAAATAATAATGTTGACATGCCTTAAGAATTAGGCAATGCCGAGAACAGAAAAATAACGAAATATGTGTTTTATCATATGTGACAAAAATAGAAAGGACTATCCTAATCTTTGATTTGGGTCAGCGATGCTCTGGGTTTCTAATATATTTTGATATTTTTAGACAGCCAGTGTAATGGATATCATTTTCGCAATCTCCTTCTTTCTACAATGTGTACTGCTGTTGTGGTAGTTATATTTTTATGCCTTCGATACTGTTCAATTTATGTTATTATCAATCAACGTCCGTTAAAAAACCTCGATTCTGTTGCTTGTTTTCTCCATCCGGTACCCCATCTTCTCTAAAAATTCTTAACCGCATAAACGCCATATAGACCCTCTGTTCATTCATGCCACAAATCAATGACGGAAGCAGTTCCTCGACTCATACCATAATAGGGCCCAACATGCTGTTGATATTGCCGTGAAAAGTCTGTAAATGATCCATCGCATTACTGCCGGCAAATGAATGGGGTTCGCGTTTTTTAGGTATGACTGTTTTATTGATATCGGTTACATTCTGATCATCCCTTGATCCTCCAGCTAAACTTATGCTTAGGCGTATACTCGCTTCGCCTGTTCCAAGTCTTGTGATATAATGTATAATATTTTTCTAAGATTCTGATTGTGAATCTAATCGTGTCGAAAGATCATGGTGCATCCATTTGATTTGTTTTCTAAAATTGGCATGCACCATTGCAACAAATAATTCACAGGATAGTTGTATTCTTGAGCAACGATGATTATGCGCCTGTAGACAAACGTTCTTTAAAAGTACATTATATCATATTATTTATTGCATAAATCTGAACTTACTCCCTATAGTATGTAAACATTTCTTGCGAAAACCGACTAATTTGTCACAGTGGATGAGTTGGACCCTTATAAATCTTAAAAACCACATCCTGTATGATTGTTCTTCTTAACATAAACATATGTACGAAGAAACGTTTTTCTGCAACTGTTACTTCCATTACATCACCGTTGTTACAGTTTGGTTGCTTTATTGTCAAACTATCGTGCCATGCGTTTAGATCTGGAAAGATCCTTTTGCAAAGTGATTCAGGCAGACAAACACTAGCTGCTGGTAAAAAAAAATCTCCACTTTTTAAATTGGTTAGTTTTTAAAAAAAGAAAGATACGTTTTTAACAAACCTTGTTGAACAGAAATTTATTTCATCGTCCTCATTACTCCTCTTGGTAATCCAGTCAAATAAGCACCGTTAATAGTTGTGTTGTTCCATCTACCTAAGCGCCTGATTAGGTCTTTATTTAATACAGCTAAGTCGGCTATTCTTGCTGAAGATCCACGAATAAACTGTTGCTTGTTTGACACAGTATCAGCTCCTTCATATGTGAAACGGAAAACGTATTTCGTAATAGTTCCTGGATTGCTCGGCTAGCTGCCGACGATCCTGGTTTGTCATAAATTGGTTTTAGTAATCAGATCAAGATCCTGCGATTGATTGAATAAATTTTAATACACTAGAAGTGCGGTATAAGGGTCGAATGGCACCTTGTATATAACAATACGCGATGTTTTGTGCGAAAGAGATTTGAAAATCTAATTTCACCATTTTCCACTCAGCGGTTAAATAGTCCATTCGATCTGCGAAAGAAAAATCTTAAAGTAATAATTGAATATAAAATGGATCCTCATTTTTATCAGGACAAACTATCTATCTTATAATGACGGATTATTGAGTCTCAGCTCATTACTTGTTGTATTTTTAACATCATTGTTTACCTTTTTATTTTGAACTATTACACGAACAATTTGGTTTCATTCAGTAGCCGAAATTGTCATCGAGTAGACAGATATCGAATATTTTGTATCACTTGGTCTATCCCCAAATTAAACTCGGTTTGTTATATTTCCTTGCGTAATGCATTGAAAGTTTTCTAAAATGTTTGCGGGTCCGAAATGTTACTTGCAGCGATAAACGGCTATTCGTTGAATTAGTCATGTTCTACAATGTAAATGACATATTCCGTCGGAAAAAAATATTTCTCCATCGTATGGTTATGAAGTTGTTTTAACCCCGTGTGTACTAGCGTAATAATTATGACCCATGTTTGGACATAACAACCGAAATCACTAGTTCTTAATGACACATAAACCTAATTGTTCACCAAATTTTCACAAATTAGATTCTCTTTCGGCAGGTCATTGCTATTTTTATATGTTAAAAAGAATGGTAGAGACCGAAAATAACTTGATAAATTAATTGTTACATATTAAAAATACTTTCACATGGAATATATTACGTCATCAGGTCACACGGCTTTCTTTTATTTGAAAGTCGTTAAAATCCGGAAGGTCATTTTCCTTCCTTTCATTCCTTTCCCAACCGAGTTTTTTCAAAAAAAATGTTTCGAGCTGTAGCTTTCTTCTCGTAAGTATTCAATACTTTTATCCTTTCGACAAATTACCAATGGCTAATGTCGCCATTGGACTAATTTCTGAAGAAATTAAATTTTAATCCTCGTTTGTCCTTTTTTTATTAGCCTTTTTCCTCGTTCTGCTTCTCTCCCCGTGAGAAAACGAAAGCTCTTTTTGGTTTCTCTCTGCTCTTCGGAGTTAGAGAGAAACATCAAGAAACAAAAACTGTTTTCTCCTGCTGCTGTTGGTCGTCGTGTCCGCCTCTGTGTGGCACCGCCACGTGGTTCTCGTGCTCGTCGTCTTCGCCGTGCGGGTATCAGTCCTCGTCCTCCCTTGGCTCCTGCGTGCGGCCCTCTTTCTCCCATGTCTTTTCCTGTTGCGGCTTCCCCTCGGATGAAGGAGACAGAAAAGCGAAAACGCTTTTCTGTCTCGATCTCGTCATCCGAGGTGGAACGCCCAACTAAAAAAATAAAATTTTAATTTAGTTGTTTATTTAAATTTGCCCAACCAATGTTTGAGTTTTATGATAAGAACTTTATTCCAGTTAAACCGGAGATAAGAATTATCACAGAGTTTAATAGTATTTTCAATACATTATCGGGGTCCTTTTTTTCGAATTATATACAAGAATACCTTTAAGCCGCTTGTCAATTTTTTTTAATTGCATTGGGTTTTCTTCTTTTGTTTTGAATTGACTGGATTAGTGGCACCTGATGTTTCCAATAGATTACAGGGAAAATATATCAGTTGCTTTTTGCTCTTCCCAACCATCTTTGCGAACGATGTTCTTCTAGTTGCTTGATAATGAGTTTAAAATAAAAATCAATGATTTTGCAATGATCATCTCACATTTTATGACCCTATTATTTTTTATACGGAATTCAATTTTATACTCAAACTTTAACCTACATCAGTCAGCTTTTTATATCCTTTGGCATGATTCACATAAGTTATAAACAACCTTTGCCATTGCCTATTCTTTTATGTCATTTCTTGTTTTCTTTCTGTATAGATATAGAGTATAAACTTCAATTCTTTTAGAGATATATTTCATAAAAATGTTTTGTTCTATTACCATCCTTTTTCCGAAGAAATAACTGCTTTTAATAAGCTATTCAATCTGTGTTCAGTCCTGCACGTGTTGCTACTACTTCTTTTTGAGGGATGAGGGTATTAGGTAATCTTCCAGAAAAATCTTCAACAACGAAGAATATTGTTTCTAGATGGCTGTTTGCTCGATTTTTTTATTTGCTGACATAATATCGTTCTTTCTATTTACCATCAGTTTCTGTTAGTTATATTTTGTTTACTAATCCCTGTTGGGACGGTGTAAACACATTGAAGGAAATATAAGAGATGCTTAAATTTCATCTACAAGAATATTGTCTTTTCCCAATAAAACCTTTCAAACGATAACGAAATCCTGGCATAGTGTACTACATTAATAATTGTGGTTATTAGGTGTCTCTTTTTTCACTATGTGTCATTGTAACAAATTGTTGGAAGACGACAGTATTTGTAGGCTCTAAATTCATCTACAGTGACGATGACGAACATCAAAGTATTGTTGTTTTAGCCATATTTACCGTAGTCGAATTACGTTACACCATCATAATCCATAATAATTGACATTAGGGACGCTCAAATAAAATCGAGCCTCCAGGTTCCAGCTTCCAGCAAGTTTTTTCTTTGTCCGATGTCCAATAAAGATTTGCATAAAAAACTATAAACTTGAATGATATTTTTTTGTGTCCAGCTTTTAGATTCCAAACTTTTACTCAGAATAAGATTTGATTGGAGGAGGTCCTGAACATGATGTAATGAATCAATGAGGAACGTATGATGAAAGATAGTAGAGAAAGATGTACTAGAAGATGCCTTATGTCATTACAAAGTATAATTTTTGGCTCCCGATATGATGATGAGTGTTATATAAAAAAAAAAACGTAGCGGATTGTCCTTCATTTCATCTTAAATATCACATAAAATTTTAAAAATGAACCAAACACCTGTCAACATTCAGCCTAGACCTCAACAAACTGAGGAACTGGAAACAACTCCACGTCTGTCTGCAGCTACCCCTAAACCCCAGGGAAGCTCCACGACTAATAGTCGTCCTGGTGTTACAGACAAGATCCCGAATGCAAAGAGCTGGATCAATGACTTCGATAGTAATGGCAAGTGCTCAAAAGATATTGTGGTTGAATGGATGCTAGTAGGAGATAATTGGAGTAAATTCAGCGGATGTGAAAGTCAAAAACCAGGTGAAGCCGAAAGCCAAACAGGTATGGCGAAAAAGCTGGCCCAAATCCTCCTCAACAGAGGACATCGTGAAAGAACCACAAAAAGTATCATAGAGACGATTAGATATTTGAAAAAATCGTTTACCGCTACTTACAAGACGGTAACCGCTACTGGATATGGTGTTGATCCTGCTGTTGATGGTAACGTCACTGTTGAAGGTAAGAAGAAAACTACTAACTGCTAACTATTATACCGTTAAATTTGTTTAACTTACTATATCTAAACTTTTAGAGAAAACCACTCATTTGTTTAAGTGGTATTATGATCTTCTCCCTTTACTTGGCTCGGATCCACTTGTAACTGGTGAAGGAATGCAGTCGAATGGGAATATCGTCAGTGGGACTCCTGATTTAAGTGCGTATGATGAACAGCCTGATCATGAAGACGATGTTCATTCAAACAACATGGATGATGTTGATGATGTCAACTTGGATGATGATGATGATGATGATGATGATGATGATGATGTTTTGCCCCTCTCTTCCACTAGACCACCTTCGCCTAGACAAAGTAGAGGAAAAAAGAGGAATCTCAATGAGTGCATTACCGACTTCTTTGAGAGACAAAGAAAAGCATCTAAGAAGTATGAAGATCGCGAGGACGAGCTATTGGAGTTTCAAAGAGAAAAGAGGGATGACGAGAGAGTAGCAATGATATTCGAGAGACAAAAGCAATGGCTGCTTTTGAATAAAGAACTTCGAAACGAAGAAAAAGGTTCTGAAGGATATGAAACCATAAAGACGTTTATGAAAGACCTTGCAGATTAACATTTAGTAAGTTGTTCTTAACCTCCCTGCTTGCAAAATCACCTTTTATAGAGTTTTGTACTTCCGAAGAAAGTACAAGTCCTTTTTTAAGCTTTGTATACCTTCCATCTATGTCGAGTAAAATTTAAAGAAAAATAAAAGTTGGAGTAAAGCCCCAGTTTTTACAGGATTCACCTGTAACTAAAACTACGGCCTGTTCAGAACATGATACGCAATGACACTTAATATTATCTTAATCCCAGGGGGTCAAAATTTACTCGCCGTATATGGTCATCTGTCTACCTTCTATATACGGCGACCAAATTTCAATGTTTTGGTATATATCAACAGTTTTTGACTTACATACTTTGGGATTTTTACCAGGTCTTATTGATGCTTTCTTAAAGACATAGGCAAAGTTTCAGCTCAATACAAAGATCAAAAATGAGTTCGTTAACTCGACATATATGGAAATATTTTGTGTACCCATTTATATCACACAGCAAGGAAGAACAAGTATACGAAATGTTTCTAACATTTCTGGAAAGTTAATATCTTCAATCGTAATACAACAACAAAAAATGTCCTGCATTATGAAATTCAGAAATTCAGAAATAAAAAAGGAAGATAATTTATTGTACACGCCTTGTAACAATGGTTTTTAAATACAGTATTATTCTATTATGTTAATCTTTAACCTGGTCCATGTCTGGCTTTTTTTTTATGCCATTGATGCTTTTACAGTGGATTCAAGTTTTGTAAAAAAAAAAAATTTGTACAAACTTCAACACGTTTTCAGCGAGTTAAACCATTTCTACCCTGTCCACGAGGAACAAATAACAGGAATCGTCAACTACAAAGCTCTAGTTATAGCAAAATTTGATTAGTAAATATCTTCTATTCAATCAAGCTTTTGAATTTTTATAAACGCATATTCTTGTTTCAGTTTGTTTTTTAACATATAAAATTATCACAGCCGCGGACTCGGTAGCGGAAACCCGCAACATGTTGCGTAATTCCACGACATGTTGCGGAAAGACGCAACATGGTGGATAAAACACGCAACCATCGGCATATAATTTTTTATTTATATTTATTTTTATTTTTCCTTCCTTTCCTCTTTTTAAATTTTTTTCTTTTACAAGCACTGTCATTAGATCAATTGTTGAAAAGAATTTAATTATAATAAAACTAGTCTACGCATTACAGAGAAAGATACGACCAACTTACAAATCAGCTAAAGAACCAGCAGGATAATGGTTAACCTTATGAGTATAGTTAATTTAAGGAAAACAAGCTTTATAAGAAGAATATAACTCTTCTTTGACCAATAAAGAGCAAATCCGTAGAAAAATGGATGATGTGCTTCTACAAAAAAGTGTTACAATCAGCTACTGTAGAAGATGTTTTAGCGTGATTCGCACTTTAAATAATTTGCTATAGATTAATAAATTTGTTCATTTAGTTTTCTCCCTTTCTTTCTCTTATAACTTTTTTTAAGGCAGCCCGGAATTCTGCTTCGTGTTGTAAGTGCTGTTATTTAAGTAATAGATACCGTAGATTATACAAACTAGGTAAATATGACATATGAAATACAAATTATTATTATGTCATTACACTTTAAAGTACCAAGAATTTGTGTGTATACATTGTCATATGCTGAAGGTAATTATCATTTGAATTTCCAATACGGTTTTTCTAAAGAGTTGTATAGATTTCGAGCCGTCTTTGGACTTGAAAATCAGGTTTAGGCTGTGAAATTTTTCAATTAGGCTATATTTTTTTCTTTAGGCTGTAAATTTTTCTTTTAGGCTGCATTTTTTTTTAGGCTGATAAAATGATTTGGTCTATATACTGCTACATCTCGCGGGACTCTCGAATGTTACCTGTATCTATAGGCGGCTGTTTGGCTAGTATGGTGTTAATTGGGCCCGTTAATAGTAAGTGCAAGAAGTATTATGGAGGTAAGTGCAAGAAGTATTACGGAGGTAAGTGTACCTTATCAATTTGGAGATGATATGTACAAAAATTATAATAAATAAAGTAAAATACAAAATAAAAATTGAATAAAATAAAACGTTTTCATTTAAACCCTGCTTTTTTATTATATAATGTATTTCTTGATTGCACAACAGTATAAAGGTTCATCAGCATCAATAATAATATAGTTAAACTGATGTAATAACGTACGTACTACGTTTTGAGTGAAAGGACGCTATATTATGGTAAAAAGACGCATCAAGTGGAATTTAGTAGCTACTTGAAGTGGTATAAATACGCAACATGCGGAAGAAACCCGCAACACTAGGTGGTAAAAACACGCAACATGTAGCAAAAACCCGCAACATTAGGTGGTATAATTTTGGAGTTTTACCACATCCGGTGGTAAATGAACCACAATTCCGCAACATTCGGTGGTATAAAATGGAC